GATGGTGCGAGGAGGAAATGAGAGCTTGTGGGCTGTTGTGGAACCAGGTTCAAAAGATTTCAGAGAAGAGAGTGGAACTGATACGTGCTACACAAGCCCTATGTTACATTAGGAACCCAAGGGACAAATGATAAATGTCTCATGACTTTCAACTAATGGGTCACGGGTTCGAGCCCAGCTGCTGCCCCTACCAAGATGGTTCGGGCAACCATGTATCATCATATAAACCCTCACACACAATAGGTGTAGCCCATTACCGCCTACTGCACACATGTGTACAGGGTTGTTGATCGCGTTCCAATTTCCAGTATATACTTAAACAGTGCAATATAAAGTGAACCCCCCCCCCCCCGAAAACTTAAAAATCGTTTTGTTATAACCTGTATGAAAATTGATTTTCGACATAAATCACGTATTTCACAATACTCTTCTCTTCAATTAGAAGTGCACTCAAAATTAAATAGAACAATCATACATATATCTGCAAAATTATTCTCTGGAAATCAATAATAATAGTAATGTTACAAATAGGTATTGAAGTACACACTGAAACGACAGACATTTAACTGCGTCATTGTCCTGCATTAATAAACTGTGTAGAGAGTGATTGGTGTTTTGTATAAGGAATTGAACATCTATTCCATATCATTCAATCATATTATCCTTACTGACTAACGCGTTTACTACAGATTAGTAATCATGATGGAATGATATCGGTTGGAGGATCACTGAAATTATTATAGCACTGAACTGTTCAATAATTTTCCAACTGATATCAGTCCATGATGAATACTACCTTGAAAAAAACAAAATTCTCATAGAACTCAAACTAAATAACGGTTTACTGCTCATTCGTAACATACTTCAAGACAAATATTTCGAAATTGTAATGAGAAGTTTTGACGGATAGCTGCTACCTTAACGTGATGGTCGGACTTGCATATCACAACGACCCAACGAGCTATACTGGTAGAAGGCTTGTTCCCTCGAGGTCATACCATATCAGAAAGGTCTGTTGGATAGTGGTAAGACAAAAAGCAGTTACCGTTGAGGTGTAAATTGCTACACTATGATGAGGGTCTGGAGGCGAAGTCATACTGCTGCTAGCTGGATGGGGTGTGACAGCAGTAAGGTGTTTCCCTTGGATGACCAGCAGTGCCAAGCTGATGCTGCCTTCTCAGTGGAGGGGTGGGGTATAAAAGATCAATTTTAAAAATAATACACTCCACCATACACCATGGTCTGCCTGGCTGGCGGTGTTGGTTCACTTGTCGTTTCCTTTCAACCATCCAGTCCTAAAACAATAAAAGTTCAAAATAATCATACTCAAAAGGCTACATGTGACAGGCCTCAAGCAGATGTCCGATGGGTTCTGCAGTCACACAAATCTCTTTCAGGTACCATAAGAAGAAATAGCCTTCCACGGTGTGGGCAGCCGGGAAGTGTCAACCGCCCTCACAACTAAAAAGTAGAGTAAAACAAGTCGAAAGTGAAACAGGCGCCAACTGAAGACATTGGTGGAGAGTCAGCCTATATAACATCATGAATTGATAGAGATAAGAAACTATGAAACAATAAACTCTAACCTAGTGACTGAATTTTTAAGGCATTTACTCCAAAACTTGAAGCCTCTGCGTTCGACCCTTAGTTCATACTACTAAAGAGTTCCATAGTAGAACAGAATAGGTATCCTTCAAATAATGTCAGTGGATGATTGAATACCGCTTTGAAATAAATAAAATCACTATAAACCATAAAACTAAATTATGCATTTATATTATAACATTTTTAGTATAGTAAAATATAAAAATCATTACGTCTTTATGAAAAATTCAACAATTCATATAATGTTAACAAAACAAAATAGTAGAAGTTATTTGTTCGAGTTATGGAATGTAATTGCGCAATATTATTATTAGTCCCTTGGGTTCCTAGTGGAACATAGGGCTTCAGTAGCACGTCTCCAGTGAACTCTGTTCTCTGAGATCTTTTGAACCTGGTTCCACAACAGCCCACAAGCTCTCATTTCCTCCTCGCACCATCTCCTCCATGTCACCCTCACTTCAGACGCTCAACTGGTCGCTTCCCATCGGGGTTCCACTCGACGGCCTAGCCTGGTGTGTGATGTCCCCAGTCAGCCTTCTCAGTGTATGCCCAATCCATCTCCACTTCCTTCCAGTGCATATTTGTTGGGTGATAGATTCTTGCTTTGTTGGTTCGTTGCCGACCAGCCAGAGTTCTTTGTTGCTTATTCTTATTATTCTGGCCATCCGATCTTCAGTAACGAGCCAGCGTAGGGGGCAGTTGTTGATGAATGTCTGTAGTTTGTTGGAAATGCCTTTCGTAACGTGCCAAGTCTCTGAACCATACATGAGCACTGATTTGACGTTGGTGTTGAAAATCCGTATCTTGTTCACGCTTTGTGCTGAGTGGAGTGCAGAAGATCTCCACACTGGTTTCAGGCTAATGAATGCCTGTCTTGCTTTTCCGATTCTCACTTTGACGTCCTCGTCCGTCCCGCCTGTAGTTGAAACAGTGCTTCCTAGATAAGTGAAGGAGGTTACTTCCTTTAAGTTTCTCCCGTTGATGGTAATTGGAGTTTGTTGTTGTTGTTGATGGTGGTGGTGCGGTATCTTCATCACCTCTGTCTTCTCTATATTCACCTGAAGTCCCGTCTTCGCTGCCTCTTCTATCAACTTGTTAGTTTTCTCCTGTAGATCTTCAAGTTTGTGTGACATCACGCACAAGTCATCACTGGCGAAATCCAAGTCTTCTAGGTTCTTTTCCGCAGTCCAGTGTATCCCCCTCTTCTCACTCCCCACTGTTTGCTGCATGATCCAGTCCACCACAATAAGGAATATCATGGGGGATAGTAGGCAACCTTGTTTCACTCCTGTCTTCACTTTACTTCAATGGCATCACTGAGCTTTCCATTGTGAATTACTTGGCATGTGGCATCTTCATATAGTTGTTGAATCAGGCGGATAAAGGTTTGCGGTACTCCGTAGTAGTGAAGCAGTTTCCAAATTACTTCTCGGTCGACGCTGTCAAAGGCCTTCTCAAAGTCGATGAAGTTGAGGTAGAGAGCTGATTGCCATTCTATACTCTGTTCTATGATGATGCGTAGAGTGGCGTTGCAATTTGGTCTGCACATGATTTGTACTTCCTGAAGCCTGCCTGTTCCGGTCGTAGTTTTGAATCCAGTGCATCTTTAAGCCTCTCCAGGATGATGCGGCTTAATATTTTACTTGGGGTGGATAGGGGAGTGATTCCGTGCCAGTTCTTGCAAACACTGAGGTCTCCCTTTTCGGCAGTTTCACGAGGTAACCCTTCTTCCAATCGCCAGGTACCTTCTCTTGCTTCCACACCTTCTGCAATAGTGGTGTGAGCATGTCCACTGTTGTCTCTGCGTCTGTTCTCAGTGCTTCTGGTGGGATCCCATCTGGTCCAATATATTGAGAACAATTTGGTCATACAAACACACACACACAAACATAAATACGTACTCTCAAACCTATAGTAGTTCCTTACTCGTTCGTATAAAAACTATGTATAACAGATACATGTGTATAACTAGATTATTTCAAATGTCTTCTACAACTACATTACATATTACGTCTTGTAAAGTACTAAGTTTCTAAGCATCAGTAAACTCTATACACAAGTACAATTTGAAAACCGTATAAATCAAACTCATAGCTTAATAAGGTGACCTGCTTGAACCTTAAGCTACCAAATTTATTCATTGAATATTTTTCATCAATTTTTTTCCTTTCAATTTGTTTTAATCATTTAAATGTCCTTTTGAGCATATTATATACCCTTTTACATTTTTAAACTGTTTCCAACTCTTCATTTCTCGAGTCAATAATAAAGTGGAGAAAAAAATGTGTTACGTTATATGGAAATGGGAAAAAGTATATCATATTTCTATCCATCAGATGTTTAGCTTGAGTTGCAGATATTTGTACCGTCTGAATGAACCGCCACCAGCAAAATTACGCTTACATTTCTGTTCATTCTTCATTATGGACTGGATACCCAGGTCCTGGAACATAGGCATGCTTACCGATGCCCAACACTAGCTGTATATCTCGACCGGAATGCGGCATTCGACTCCGTCGATTGAGAAGTCTTATGGCAATATCTCTGACTGAAAGACGTACCGAGTAAGTACATCACCTTATTGAAGGTTCTCTACTCAAGGACTTGTGGGGGTGTTAGAGCCTATGGTGAGATATCCGAAGAGCTGTGCTCGTCGAGTGATGTCCGTCAAGACTGCCCACACTGTCCATTCTTATTCAATTTTATTATAGATATTCTTATGGAGGTCTCCTTCTAATCATCTGATTACATAGAGGTTGGCCTAATCGCAGGAAAATTTTCGTTAGGCATAGAATATGCAGATGACATAATCCTGTTAGGTGAAGAGTCTGAACACTTCTAAACACTTTGAGAATGTTTAGGATACGTTTCTCACCACCAAAATGCAAATTTTTCCTCCACGATTGGTCTTCAACAGTGCTACGGCTAACAATAGACAGTGTAGTGATTTAGTGTTTCGACCATTTCATTTACCTGGGAAGTAATATCAGCTCTAGTGTGTTGGTCAGTGGCTGATGAAATCTCTGCATGAATATAAAAGACTCGGTTGGCAACAAGAAACTAACAGTTTCTTGCTAAAACTTTAGCACTAGGTGATACAGACGACATCAGTTCCACTAAAGATGCAGATATGCCTTGTTAATGAGAGCTAACAAGCGCGAAACTTAGGTCAAGTAGGGTTTCCTATCGAACATATCACAGTGTTATACGATAATAAACCATACACATCTTAGATCAAACTCCATAATATCCTTTAGATAATTAAAACCAGAGACATTCGATTTAATAATAATAATGTAATTTCTCAGTTAAGTTTCATCATAATAAGGAACCGGTGTACGTCTTAAGGAGTCATAATATAACAACAAGGAAGTAACCTCGAGGATGCAACATACCTTCTGTTTATTACGTGTACTGAATGATTGTTTCCTTGAATTTCCATGAATGTTATTTCTGCCTTTTGAAGACTTTATCCCCTCCTGTTTAACAAGTTCTTCTGCTAACTTATCCTAAATAAAAACCAATGTTGTTGATTGTTTATTTTGTTTTTTTCAAATAAAAAATGAGAATAGATTAACAACTACAATCACTGATTATAACCTGTAGAAAAAAAAAATCTGTCTAGTGGATACCAAACATGTGAAAAGTGAGTTTTATTATTATTATTATTATTATTAGTCCCTTGGGTTCCTAGTGGAACATAGGGCTTCAGTAGCACGCCTCCAGTGACCTCTGTTCTCTGGGATCTTTTGAACCTGGTCCCACGACAGCCCAGGAGTTTTATTATAAGAGAAAAAAATAATTCAATCAGTAAACTAGTTGTTGCCAATATCAGTAGTAATTTATATTCAAAAAAAAAAAATAACCATAGACTACTGGTAACACTAAGAATGTCATATTACTACTTATTGATATACTTGTAATTCTCTGTTGTTTTTTGTTACATTGAATTGTTCGACCACAATTGGCATAAACCGAGAATATGCAGATGAGATAGTCCTGTTGGGTGAAGACACTGACAAGATGTAGAGTCTTCTAAACACTTTGAGTGACAATTTCAGAATGTTTGGGATGCGGTTATCATCACCCAAACGCAAATTTTCGCTCCAGGATTAGTCTTCAGCGGTACCACGGCTAGCGATAATGAGTGTAGTGATTGAGTGTGTTGACCACTTCACTTACTTGGGAAGTAGGATCAGCCATGGTGGGTCAGTTGTCGATGAAATCTCTGCATGGATATAAAAGGCTCGACTGGCATTTGCCAATTTACGATACCTATGGCGCCGTCATGATGCCCGTTTGTCGATTAAGGGTCGCGTGTACTGAACAGCAGTCCACTCTGTCCTACTATGTATGACTGTGAAACATAGCAATTGAAGGTGGAAGACATGAGAAAGCGTCAAGTGTTTGACCACCGCTGGCTTCGTAGTATAGGCCGTATTCTGTGGTGTCACCACGTGAGTAATGCAGAAGTCAGGTATAGAGTTCTAGGGAGTAAAGGTAAATCAGTTGACGAGGTTATGGACCTTCAGCGACCGAGATGGTTAGGACACGTACTACGTATGCCTTGTCGCCGTCTGCCTCGCCACACAATCTTGGCTGAAGTAGGTCCAGACTGGAAAAAGGCCCGAGGTGAGCAGACTAAAACATAGCAGCAATGCATGAAGTCTCTGACTGTTGGTTTGAGCCATGTGGGGCGATGCAGACTAAGTGGTTGGGGTCTGCGGAACAAGAGAAATCAGTGGTTTGAGACTGACTTTAGGTGATTACATGGGTGAGAACCGATGTCAAAGGGGGGAGATGTATACACACACACACACACATATTATCCTTACCTTAACGACACTAAACCGAATCTCACCATTTTCTCATCCTTCATTCCTCTTTGTCTTTTAGTACTTTATATTTTTTCGACTGGATTTTCTTTTCTTCATCTTCCACTTCACTGCGTTCCTACTTGATGTACTGATATGAACTGTGGCAACTCGGACCGTTACGTAGTAATACCTGGTCCTATGTTGATATTGATGATGAATTGGCATATGGGCTCCGATGCAGATGCCTCAATATTGTTTAAATGTCAATGATGGTAATTTAGTTGGTTGTGGCTAGCAGAGGAATCCAGAACGCGCGTCTCGTCCTATTTGCGACTTGACAGCTAGGTGTACCTGCAACCCAGTGAGTGATGTTGTCCCCACTGAGACTTGAACCTCATACCCATCTCTTCAAACACCAAGGCGTTGTTCACTATGCCACAGAGGAACGATAGCCACTTCTTGTACAACGGGTAGTAGTTATTACCATTTATTGATATGCTTGTATTTCTCCGCATAGGAGCCCATATGCCAATAGAGGTTGAACAATTTGAACCAATAAAACAACAGAGAATTACAAGTATATCAGTATATAGTAATAACTACTACCCGTTGTACAAGAAGTGGCTATCGTTCCTCTGTGGCATAGTGGATAACGCCTTGACGTTTGAAGCGATGGGTATGGGGTTCGAGTCTCCGTGGGAACAATATCACTCACTGGGGTTCAGGTACATCTAGCAGATGTTTCCAAAATAGGACGAGACGCGCGTTCTGGATTCCTCTGCTAGCCACAACCAACCAATAATTTCGACTATCTGAGTAAGCCGTGGTTTAGCAGACTGGTATTTATACTGGGTAGTGATTGAAGGTGAAATGAAAACTTGGATCGCGAATGGGCAAAATCCATGGTGATTGAAGTGAAATAAGAAATCTAGTCAGGAGTCGGATCTCGTAGCTCAGTTGCTAGAGTATCGGGCCGGAAACCTGTTGGTCGCTGGTTCGAATCCGGCGGCGTTCCAAATCTTCATATTATTTAATTCCAGAACAGTATTCATCATGAATAGAATTCATTTGGAGAGACATTCAAAACCTGAGAGATCTGTGAAACCCTTGTTTGGTCCTTAGCAGTGCGGAGCCATGATCCTGCGACGAGTTGAACTCAGGACCTTAAGATCTCGTGGCAAACGCGTCAACGATCCAGTCACTAGATCGATGCTTAATGGCGCACAATTTTCTACTTCTATCAATTCTCGATATGATATAGCATCAGCTTCACTTTCTACTTGATTAAGCCTATAGATCAAGGTTGAATGGTTAACGCATTCGCTTCAATTTAAAAAAATGATGACATTGGAGGAAGTATTAGCAGACGACTGAAAAATCACTGACTACAACTTTTTTTGCAGCCAGGTTAGTTCAAGTGTACCAAACAATGTGCTTTTTAATATTGTTGCTTGTATTATCTCGTAGTTGAGTGGACCGAATTGAAAAATTTCTATTGGAATATATAGGTTCCTGTGTAGATGTATCGACACTGCCTTTGCTTGAATTATGCATTAACGGTAGATAGTGGACAGCAGAGGAATCCAGGGTGCATGTTTCGTCTTGTTTTAGACTCGCCAATTGAACGTACCTGCCTCCCAGTGAGCGATGTTGTTCCCAATAGGACTCGAACTCGGGACCAATCACCTCAAACGTCAGACAGTTATCCCTTCAGTCACCAAGTTATGACAGCTACTTCTTGTGCGACGAGTAGAGTTTTAATGTTGTTACTTGTATTATCTTATTTGAAGCAATCGGTCTCGAGTTCGAATCCTAGTTGGAACAGAATCGCTCACTCGGAGGCAGATACATTCAGCTGACAAGCCCAAAATAAGACAAAACGTACATTCCGGGTTCCACTGCTATCCATTAATAATATATAATGTACTCTTCAGTCCAGTCAAAAGTTGGTAGGTACCCTTCCTATGTTACATCAAACTGTGTACATCAATCTACATGTAGCCTTCAAAGCAGATGCATTAGAAGAACGAAAAGAAGTGTGCATCATACAGATGCTGAACACATCCTGATGAGCTGATGACTGAAAGTAACACTTCAAACAGTGCAATTCATCAGTATCTGATCGATACTGGACATCAAGCAGATGTTTTCAATTCCTTCAGGATAATTTTTTTTAAAGATAAACTCAATTCTACTGACGTTTGCTGAAGCCATAGCCATTAAACACCTTAAACATGATTTATGTGTTCTCAAGGAAGATAAAGTCAACCTCTGTCTATCTTGATAACCCTTTTCCCCTATTACTAGCATTCAAACAAATATTTATATTTCAAATCATTGTATCCAATTATTGTGAAGGTTTTCGTTACCTCTAATCATTTAAGCAGAGCATACATTCTGGTAACAGATGCCAATGAAAGAGTTAAGGAATTAAAATATGTGAACAAGATACTGAAAATGAATAATTATCCAGTGAAATTGATTCGTAAAATAGAAAATAATATTAAATTACCTTGTAAAACTATTCTTAAATCATGGGCCTCAATAATAGTTATCCTTTACAGATCAAGCACACTGGATGAAATTAGGAGTGTTCAACAAATACAACATCAGAGTGTTCTACAGAATATCAAACACATTGAAGAGCACCTTAATTCATTTAAAGGATGAAATCCTTCTGGGGATTCACAATCTTAGACCACGCTTTGGAGTATATATAGGATAGACTTCCCATGAAATAAAAATGAGTAAAAATGAACACTGAAGAGCTTCCACTCGACCCCTTAGAAATCCAATGGAGCTTCAAAAACTTGAACACCATTCAATCATAGCTGGTCTACACGCTATAGTTTCAGGTTATAAGGTCGACTTATTGATAATACTGCTCCTACTTGTTTTTCTTACTATTTTCAAAGACCTCAAAAGGTATTCAATTCTATCCCTAGCGGGGTTCATGTGTGAATACTGCTGAGGAGCTGTGCAATTCATCGAAGTAGTTGTCCAATGGTCTCAGATCTTCGGTGTTTCTCCAACTGATGTCAGTCTATGATAAACCCTTCCTTGAAATATAAGTAAAGTCAACACTGGAATAAGTATACTTGTTTTTTTAAAAATCAATCCATTGTTAACCCCCACCTGAACAGTTTTTTTGCTCTTAACACAGACTTCCATCATTTACACATCTATAACCCGTTGCATAAGCTTTAACCTGTTCCACAGACTAAGTTTTGTTTTCCTGAAAACAAAATTGTCTATGGAACATTCCATGAATAGATAATGAAACATTTTTAAGAAATTTTCATACTACAGTAAACATACAAAAATGAAAATGAGTCTGAACTTAACGATGATTAGGTAATAACTGCTCTGATACTTTATCAACTTCTCCGTACTATATTATTCACCAAAATCCTATCGAAATGCTAGTCAGTAGTCAGATACCAGTTCATGTAGTAGGCAATGAACCACAATGATGAGCTAGTGATGCCATTGATATACCTGACTGCTAAGATCTTCCTAGATCAAGTGAATGTTTGATACCCATGATCGACTAGTTGAAAGTTGAGTGCCTAAACCAATAGGCTAAATCTTTGTTTCGATGGTATTAATCAATTAGATGCAGTGGAAGTGATTCCCCCTCCCCTAAGAATATTCGATTAGTAACCTGCGCGCTATGCACCCTACACACTACCAACTTTGTCATGATATCCAATGGATAGCTAGTTCTCAACTTTTACGTGAATACAAGAGATATATATATTACTCTATTTTAAATAAACTAGTTGCCCAACAAGCTCTTCCTATCCAACTTCGAATCTAGTTGACTTACTTAGAGAAGATTATTACGTTTAGCAGATAGATCCTGCATACACAGAAGTTGATAGGATACGAAAAAACAAAATTTATGAAAGGTTTTCAATGAAAGTATTAAATCAGTAACATGAAAAAGCAGTATTATTATTATTACTACTATTATCATTATTATTATTAATATTCATAATTAGATTACCTTTACAATAGAATCAATCTTGTTATATTCAGCGATTAGATCATTATCATCCCAGAATGATTCATCTTCTGAATCAGCGTCGACTAACGGCCATATCTGGTTGTTTTTCTTATTCATAGCACTATAATAATAATAATAATAATAATAATAATAATAATAATAATAACTAAATGACGCTACAAAACGACTAAGATACTACTGGTTCAACGGTAAAGAGTAAATCTCGTTTGATTCCATTATCGATGTGGATGCAAGTTGATTTTAAAAACTTTGTTGTTCGACCGAAATATCATTTCATTATAGCTGCAAAAAAGTGTGAGGACTTTTGGTGATGTAGCTGAAAATCATCATCATAAAGATCAATATAGGATCAGGCATTATTGAGTAGCGGTCTAAGTTACCATACCTCATATCAGCACATCAAGTAACAAGGCAATAAAATGGAATATGAAGAAGCAACAAAAAATCGGTTAAAACCAATAGAAGTACAAGTAGAAAGTAGCAAAATAGAGGAAGGAAGAATGAGAAAATGATGAGATTAGGTATATCGGTTAAGATGAGGATAAGGTGTGTATTCAAACTGCACCGCTGACATCGGTTCTCAGTCATATCACCTACAGTCTGCAACCACTGATCTTTCTTGTCCCACGAACCCCAACAGACTAGTCTGCATCGCAATGTTTCAGTCTGGCTGCCCCGAACTTTTAGCTAACCTGAACCTACTTCGGCCAACATTGTGTGACGAGACAGATGGTGGTTAGGCATATATAACATGTTCCAACCAGTCATGTTATTCCAGGAAGATTCGCAACAGCGTCAACTGTCTTACCTCTCCTACCAAAAACTCTACGTCTCACTTCTACGTTACTTACGTGGTGACAGCAGGAAACACGACCTTTACTACAGAGTCAGCGGTGGTCAAACGCCTGAAGCCTTTTACCTTTAACGGCTATATTTCAGAGCGATGCAGTAGAACAGAGCGGACAGCAGCACAGTAAACTCCACCCTTAGTAGACAGTCGAATATCGCGGCGGCGCCACATATGGCGTCAGTTGTCAGAGGCCAACCGAGCCTTTTGTATCCATGCAAAGATTTTATCGGTCACTAACCAACGCACCAGAGCTGATCTGAGTTCACAGGTAAGTAAAGTGTTCAGTGAGCTCAACCACTACACTCTCTAATATTAGTCCGAGCACCATTTAAGACCAGTCCCAGAGCAACGATCGACTGGATCGAATGCCGGCTTTCGGTCAAGAAATACAGTTATTCTCGGGGGTTGGTGAGCGTGCATGAAGACTGGGATAATTAGTGCTTCAAAGTAGTCAGAAGGGATCACAATCGCGCAGATGTATACACTCCTTGACGATGAACCTGCATTTAGTCAATAATATACACCTTTTGTTATGTTTGTTTGTTTTCGGATAAAATTTACATCATACAACACTAACTCTGTATGGATATTGCTTTTGTGAATAGTTACTTGTCAGTCTTTTTCATTTCGACTATGTGATTGATTCATTAGCTGATTGATATGTACATGTTATTAATTCTATGATATCATAAAGTCGGTCAGTCCTCTCTTTGTATTCCTGTTTGTAATTGTCACAACTGAATGATCATTCTCTACTCTTTTAACTGAAGACACTTTCTGCGACCTTTCCAATTCTCTTCATTCACCATTCTGTGTACTATCATCATCAATGGCTACCGATGAATTCTATGTTGTTGTTGTTGTTGTCGTCATCTTGCTCATGATCTCCACATATGATAAAGTTTGATTTTTAAACAGTATGTATTTGTAGTCTATAAAAGTCGTTGTCACCTCCCTTTATGGAAACGTTCAAATCATCATCATCATGAGTTCTGATGCTCATTCATCAGATTTGTCTCCTAACTGGTATTATTCTCCTTTAAAATGTTTCTACAGATTACCTTGACAGAGGATACAAAGGATGGGAGTAAGGAGGATATGGTGAATTCTGGTTCACTTGATGGAAATCCAGTGTGCAATCTACAATGGATTCCACCTTGTACAAACCCTCCAATCCAGTTGTTTTCACAATCAGTTGATTCAAGGTATCTTTCTTCCTGTTTTTGTGCAGATTATTTGTATCCGTTTGATGTGTGGATGTGAGGTGTGGTGTTTTGGACAGGTACACAGTAATGTCAAGTCTCATGTTGAGTGTTGACATTATCCATCCATCTGTCTGTCTGTCTGTCTGCTTACAACAGTGATAAAGTGTCTCATGTTCAGACTAAATTTATCGAAGTGGATCATTTCATTATCGGTGGTCTGTAGTTGGAATAGGCTGTGAACTGTGAGTCAAAGATCAGAATGTTATGCTCACAGGCAAAATATTGACATAAAGTACATCTACTCACTTATTGTTTGTTCTTTCGGAAGTAATTTCTACAAATGTTTGTAAGAGATGAATCCCTTCATACACTATACATTGCTAAACAGTTTCAGTATTAAATTATTACTAAGCAAGAGAATGTAGGATTTGATGAGTTATGTGCTTTAAAACACACTTTTCAGGAGACAGTTTGAAAAATTTCAAATTTGATGAATTGTAGTGGGATATTTCCAATCTTGTTCGTCTAAGAAAATCACATGTTAATAATCATTATATATCCTAGTGACGCAACAAGGTATGGTGGTGGAACGCTTGTTCCTTCGAGTTGCTACTATACTAGGAATGTCAGTTGGAGATTGGTTAGATGAGAAGCAGTTACTGTTATATAGTAGACTTTGCATATGACAGGGGTCTGAGGGCAAAGTGGTATTGGTGACTGGAGAGGGATGTTGCAGCAGAGAGCTGTTGCCTTTCGATGACTAGGTGTACCACGCTGACACTGCCTTCCCTATGGGTAGTGGGGCTGAACAGGTTGGCCCTAAAAATAGCACACATCTATGTTCTTTGGTATTCAGGTGCCATCGATTCGGTCTCGCAGTCCTACTTACACAAAGCAAACTGAATTATGAAACATAACGAGGATGGTGGAGAGAGTTTGCAAGAAATGCTAGTACTGCATGTGGGAGCACTATATGTTCTATTGGACTTGATATAAGTAAGCCATATGAAATTCGCGCAGTTTTTCAGTACCGTTAGTTTTATAGTCAGATATCTCACCAGTTAACGCCAGAAATGGAGGACCTTCTGTCTCCAGGGTGAGACTCTATCAGCAAACTGTCCGTCTGAGCTTATGCAACTCATTCAATGAAGTGGTATCAATATGAGAACTGACATTAACGTGTAACGATTCGAGTTGCCAAACCGCATATCAAGATATGGAGAAAAGTGAAATTAAGTAATCAAAAGTAATAGAAAGTTATAACGAAACACTCTATGATGATTGGGTCAGTGATAATGTACGAGGATGCATCTACGTTACTGAGATCGATTCTCAGACTATACTAAGTACATTATCCAGTCATTGATTACAGTTGTGATGTGCACCGTCCCGCCATAAGAGGTTTACAATTGACGACAAGAATTACGACAAATGTAAAACTTACCCATTTTCAATCTCTTATCATAGTATGTAATACCACAAACCTTTATCAATCTCATTCAACAACTATATGAAGACGACACATGCCAAGTAATTCACAATGGGAAGCTCAGTGATGCCATTGAAGTAAAGTGAAGACAGGAGCGAGAAGAGGGGATAAGCTGGACCACAGAAAAGAACATAGAAGACTTGGATTTCGTCGATGACCTATGTCTAATGTCACACAAACTTGAGGGAAAACTAACAAGTTGTCAGAAGAGGCAGCAAAGATGGGACTTCAAATGAATGTGATGAAGATACCCAACCAACACCACCAACAAGGTCCGATCACCATCAACGGGAGAAACTTAAAGAAAGTAGCCTCCTTTACCTATCCAGAAAGCACTGTTTCAACTACAGGTGGCACAAGCACAGACGAGGACGTCAAAGCCAGTCAGGATCGGGAAGACAGTAAGACAGGCGTTCATTAACCTGAAACCAGTGTGGAGATCTTCTGCACTCCACTCAGCACAAAGAACAAGATTCGGATTTTCAACACCAACGTCAAATCAGTGCTCATGTATGGTTCAGAGACTTGGCACGTTACGAAAGGCATTTCCAACAAACTACAGACATTCATCAACAACTGCCACCTACGCTCACTCCATACTGAAGCTCAGATGGCCAGAATAATAAGAATAAGCAACAAAGAACTCTGGCTGGTCGGCAACGAACCAACAAAGCAAGAATCTACCACCCAACAAATATGCACTGGAAGGAAATAGAAATGGATTGGATTGGGCATACACTGAGAAGGCCGACTGGGGACATCACGCACCAGGCCAGGCCCTCTAGTGGAACCCCGATGGGAAGCGACGAGTTGAGCGTCTGAAGTGAGGGTGACATGGAGGAGATGGTGCGAGGAGGAAATGAGAGCTTGTGGGCAGTCGTGGATCCAGGTCCCTATGTTCCATTAGGAATCCAAGGGACAAATAATAATAATAAATCATAGTATGTGGTTTCCTTGGACTAATAAAGGTTGAAGGAGCTATTACACATTGGTCTTGACACTGAACTTTCAAACAGTGGATAAAAAGTTCAAAACCTACAGCTTCATCTGACGAGGATTGACCAACTAGTCAGACTGTACACAACAGGTGTATCACGTAAGTTGTTAAGTTTATTACAATTATTTCAATCTCTACCACCTTAGAATATGATAAATTATGAAGTGCTTAGTCATCATATGAAGATGGCATTTTTCAAGTATTATAAGGGATTGAATAGTCTGCTTCTATGATCAACAACAAGGAAAGAGTTCTATTACTTAATAACTCTGAACTTTGTTGATTCATTTCAAAATTAAACAAAAAAAAACAGACAACAATACACAAATAAATTATTTATACTCTTGAATTATTCACCTGCTTGCTTAATAAACTAAACTATACTAATTTTTTTTTGATATTTTGTTCCAATTAACTGATGTTTTCCAGATGATATTTGCAATAATTTCAACGTAAATCTTAACTACAATGGGAAGCTCAGTGATGCTTTTGAAGTGAAGACAGGAGTGAAACAAGGTTGCCTACTATCCCCCATGATATTCCTGATTGTGGTGGACTGG